GAAACCCAAAGGGATCTACATAAATGGAAAAACATACCATGCTCATGGATAGGCAAACTCAGCATTGTGAAAATGAGAATTCTACCGAAAGCAGTCTACAAATACAGTGCAATCCTGATCCAAATACCAACAACATTCTTCAAAGAGATGGAAAAACTAATCATTAACTTTATATGGAAAGGGAAGAAGCCCCGAATAAGTTAATCGCTATTGAAGAAGAATAAAGTTGGAGGACTCACACTACCTGACCTTGGAACCTACTCTACAGCTACAGTAGTCAAAACAGCCTGGTACTGGTACAGTGATAATTACATCGACCAATGGAACAGAATTGAGAACCCAGATGTAAATCCATACACCTATGGTCACCTGTAATTATAATTTTGATAGATATTCCCAAATTATTCTCCCCGGTGGTTGTGCTAATTTATGTTCCCAGCAGGTATGAACCAGAAAACAATTTCTCTATAGCCTTGATAGGCGAATAGGTGACAGTTGGTATCTTAGAACAGTTATTTTACACTTCTTTTATTGTGAGTGAAATTGAGTATCATTTCATATTTTTAAGAGGTGTTTGTATTTTTTGTAAACTGTCTTTCATATGCTTTTCTATCTGGTTGTTGATTTTTTTTTTTTTTAATTGTACTTCAGGTGAAGGTTTACAGAACAAATAGTTTCTCATGAAAGATAAGTACACATGTTATTTTATGACATTGGTTAACAACCCCACAACATATCAACCCTCTAACTTCTCAACCTCTTTTTTTTTTTTTTTGGTGAAAATGCACATAGCCAAAGATACACCATTTCAAAAATTTCTACATGCATAGTTCAGTGACATTGATTACGCTCTTCCAATTGTGCTGTTATTCTCACTTAAGATGAAGGCTTACAGAACAAAATAGTTTCTCATTTGTTTTTCTTTTTGATTTGTCAGAGTTTTTATAGGAACACCTCATATATTAGACTTTTGTGACATGAGTGGGACTATTTTTTTGCTCAGTTGTTAACCTTTGCTTATGGTGCTTTTTACCATGTGGAAGTTTTTGATTTTTATTTAGTTGAATTTATTAGTCTTGTTTTTCATGGCTTTTGAATCATAGTTAAAAAGGCTTTCCCTAAAGTCATAAAGAAGGAATGCTCTCACGTTTTCCTCTAGTATTTTTATGGTTTTTTTTTTTTTTTTTTTTTACAGTTTAATCTTTGATACATTTGGAATGTATCCAGGTAATACAATGTGAGGTATGGACCCAACTTTATTTTCTCTTGGATGCTAAGATGCTAGCTACCATTTGTCCCATCACCGTTCATTGGATAGTTGATAGTTTCCTCACTGATTTGAAATGCTATATGTTATATTCTAAATCTCATGTATATTTAAAAAGAAAATTTGATTAAATTGTGTTCCAAATGGATTTGTGAGTTATTTTGAAACCTGGAATGCATTTCCCTGTAGAATTGCTAATTATATTTCTAGGCTAGTTAACAAAATTGCATAGTGTACTTGATCTATAATATTAATATCATTCATTAATATCTAATCTACATTTATCATGCCGGAAGTTAATGTTTTAAGTATTAGTTTAGGGTAGTTTTGTTTTCCTGGCAATGTGGGTTAGGAGTTTCTGTTCAACTTTTAATTTCCTTTCATCTCATCTGTTTAATAGGCCTCAGTCTTTAAAGGTAAGTAGTTATTTTAAAATAGCTTGATGTTTGAAAAGTAGGGTATTATAGACAAAGGGAGAAGCAAGTAATAAAGACAGGGGTATATTAGTAATATAAAAATTATCTGGAATTGGACTCTTAAGATTTGAGGCTAAGGCCCTGTGAGAGGTGAGGCTGGTAACATAGGCATGATTTTCTGCTCTCTCTTCCCTTCCCCTCCGCTTCTCTTTTGATCATACTAAGAACTTGATCCTTTTGATTGTGGGGAGCCCTTGAAGCTGGGAATAGCATGACATTTCCATTTTAGGAAGATCACTTTGACAGCATTGTGGTAAATGGATTGGAAGGGCATGAGACCAGTGGAGCTGGATCATAGGTGTTTTTAATGTACATGAAATCAGCTCTGTGGTTTGGGAATAAGACGGGGGAGTAAAGAAAGAAATAATTTAAATTAAAGAGACAATTCAGCCTGCCATTTTACTCACTGATTATATGCTTTAGGCAAACCTATATAGAAATCCTTTGTGAATGATTTTAAGGATTTCCTATCATTGACAAAGAAGGGAAATGTATTATTGATGTGGCCAGTTAAGAGTATAGTGAAGGGAAAAAAAAGTGTAGTGATGATCTTACTTACATTCGTGAATAAGAAATTTAAAAAATCAATTCAGAAAAAAATTCACATTTGATAGAGGCCTTGTATCTAAGATATACAAAGAACTTTTAAAATTTAACAATGAGAAAACAGTTCAATTTAAAAATGGGCAAAAGATCTGAACAGACACCTCAATAAAGAGACATATAGTTGCCAAATAAACATGAAAAGATGTTCATGTACAGCACGAATGAAACATTGCTGGGTCCTTTGACATCCTCACAGTTGGTGGTGTGCTCAAGTCCATTGTTGTGGCCACTGTGTATTTGAGTGCCTTTTAACCTAGGAGGCTCATCTTCTAGCACTGTGTTGTTGTTGTTGGGTGCTGTCAAGTTGGTTTTGACTCATAGCGACCCCACGTGACAGACTAGAACTGCCCCATAGGATTTTCTTGGCTGTAATCTTGGGAATATATTGCCAGGTCTTTCCTTACGCGAATCCACTGGGTGGGTTCGAACTGCCAACCTTTCGGTTAGCAGCCAAGTGCTTTGCCATTGCGCCACCAGGGCTCCTTTCTAGACTGTATCAGACAGTATTCTGTTGTGATCCATAGGGTTTTCGTTGGCTAATTTTCAGAAGTAGATTGCCACATCTTTCTTTCTAGTCTTAGTCTGGAAGCTCTGCTGAAAACTGTCCACCATGGGTAACCCTGCTGTTATTAGAAATATCTGTGGAATAGCTTCAGCATCAGAGCAACATGCAAACCACCACAGTACAACAAACTGATGGACAGGTGGTGGCACACTTTGTTAGGAATTTGCAAATTAAAACATAAATGAGGCGACGCTACACACCTATTAAAACCTGAACCAAACCAAACCTATTGCTGTTGAGTCTATTCCGACTCATAGCAACCCTATAGGACAGAGTAGAACTGCCCTATAGAGTTTCTAAGGAGTGACTGGTGGATTCAAACTGCCAGCCTTTTGATTAGCAGCCAAGCTCTTAACCACTCCACCACCAGGCCTCCGCACACTTACTAGAATGGCTAAAATCCAAAACAGTGACACCACCAAATGCTGATGAGGATGTGGAGGAATAGGAACTCTCATTCGTTGCTAGTGGGAGTGCACAGTGGAACAGCCACTTTAGAAGACAGTCTGACAGTTTTTTGCAAAGGTAAACATAGTCTTACCATGCAATCCAGCAATTGTGCTCTTTAAATATTTACATAAATAAATTGAAAACTTCTGTTCACACAAAAACCTGCATATGAATGTTTATAGCAGCTCTAGCCATAAATTGCCAAACGTTGGAAGGAACCAGGATGCCTTTCAATAGGTAAATGGATAAATTGTGGTACATTCATACAATTGAGTATTATTCAAAATAAAACAAAACAATATAGCAAGCTATAAAAAGATATCGAGGAACCTTAAATGCCTGTTGTTAAGTGGAAGAAGCTAATCTAAAAAGACTGTATATTTCATGATTCCAGCTATATGACAGTCTTGAAAATGCAAAACCGTAGAAACAATGAAAATATAAGTGGTTGCCAGTGGCTCAAAGGGAGCAGGGGAGGGATAAACAGATGAAGCACAGTGCATTTTTAGGGAAGTTTAGCTGTTCTATATGATGCTGTAATGGTAGGTACATGACATTATGCATTTGTCAAAACCTGTATAGAACTGTAAAATACAAAGAATGGACCCTATTGTAAACTGTGAACTTTAGTGAATAATAATCTATCAGTGTTAGTCCACCAATTGTAACAAATGAACCCCAGTAATGCAAAGATGTTAGTAATAGTATAGCAGGGAGAGAGGGCAATATATGGGAATTTTCTATACTTTCTGTGCAGTTTTTCTATAAGCCTGAAATTGCTCTAAAAATAAAGTATATTAAAGAAAACGATTTGAGAGTCATTGATACACATTATTCGACAAAAAGGGTAGAAGAACTGATCTAATCTAACAGACTTGCATGTTCAAAACTATATGTAGCATAATGTACTTTTTCTATCGGAATTTAAGAAATTTTTCAAGAATAGTTTTCAGTTATACTCATTGTTATGGATTGAATTGTGTCCCCCCAAAATGTGAGTCAACTTGGCTAGGCCATAATTCCCAGTATTGTGGTTGTCTACCATTTTGTCATCTGATATGATTTTCCTTGCATTATAAATGCTGTGTCTGTGATGTTAGTGAGTCAGGATTAGAGGCAGTTATGTTAATGAGGCAGGACTCAATCTACAAGATTAGGTTGTATCTTGAGTGAATCTCTTTCGAGATATAAAAGAGAAGTGAGCAGAGAGACAGAGGGACGTCCTATCACCAAGAAAGCAGAGCCAGGAGCAGAGCACGCCCATTAGAACCGACGTCCCTGCGCTGAGAAGCTACTAGACCATGGGAAGATTGATGGCAGGGACCTTGCTCTAGAGTCGACAGAGGGAGAGAAAGGCCTCCCCTCGAGTTGGCACCCTGAATTTGGACCTCTGGCCTCCTAGACTGGGAGAGAATAAATTTCTGTTTGTTAAAGCCATCCACTTGTGGTATTTCTGTTACAGCATCACTAGATAACTAAGACACTCTTTTTTTCCTTCGTGCTTTAACTTTAGAACCTAAACCACTCAAAGACAAGACTTCTATATTGTCTTAAGTCCCACGCTGAGAAGACGAGGGACTGGACTAAGACAGAAGCAGGGGGATGGGGGATAAAAACGAAAGAATGGATATCAGAGATACTAAGGTTGTACATTTTTACAGGTTATTATTTTAACAAACATTTGCCAGTTCAACAGTTTTTTACAATTCAGTGACATTGATTATGTTCACCATGTTGTACAGTAGTTGTTGTGTGCTGTGGAGTAGATTCCGACTCATAGCAACCTCATATGACAGTAGAACTGCCTCTTAGGAATTGCTAGGCTGTAATCTTTACGAGGGAACCCTTGTGGCGTAGTGGTTAAGCATTCAGCTGCTAACCAAAAGGTTGGCCAATCGAAACCACCAGCTGCTTCTTGGAAACCCTATGGGGCAGTTCTACTCTGTCTTACAGGGTCGCTATGAGTCAGAATCAACTCGATGGCAACAGGTTTGGTTTGGTTTTGGTTAATCTTTACGGGAGAAGATGGCCAGGATTTCTTTCCTGTGGAATGGCTGGTGGGGCTCAAACTTGGTGGAAAATGGTTAACCATTGTGCAGCCAGGGCTCCTGTGCAGTCGTTACCACTCTCCTTTTCCTGCCTTAACAGAAACTGGGTGCCCCCCAAGCCATGACTTCCCCCTTCTCCATCCCCCTCCTTCTATTCTTGGTAATCACCAATAAACTTCAGTGTCTATATATTTGCTTATTTCATATCAGTGGATTCATACAGTATTTTCCTTTTGTATTTGACATATTTCACTCAGCCTAATATTTTCAAGCTTCATATTGTAGCATGTATCAGGACTTCATTTCTAAGGCTGAGTAATACTCAATTGTATGTATGTACCACATTTTGTTTATTCTTCTGTTGATGGACATGGTGATTCTCTGTTTAACTTTATGAGGAACTACAAGCTGTTTTCCACAGCACCTGTACCATTCACATTCTATCCAGGAATGTAAAGGGTTTCAGTTTCTCTGCATCTTTGCCAACACTTGTTACTTACTGCTTTTTTTGTTTTGTTTTGCTTTTTAAAAGTAATTCTTATCCTAGTGAGTATGAAGTGTTAGCTTATTGTGGTGTTGATTTGCATTTCACTAATGACTAATGATGTTGGTTATCTTTTCTTATGTTTCTTGGCCATTTGTGTATCTTCTGTGGAGAAATGTCTTTTCAAGTCCTTTATCTATTTTTTAATTGGGCTGTTTGGTTTGTCTTTTTTTTGGTTCTTTATATGTTCTGGATAGTAGACCCTTATCAGATATATGATTTGCAAATATTTTCTCCCATTTTCTGAGTTGTCTTTTCACATTCTTGATAATGCCATTTAATACAC